TAGTTATGAGACCTAAATAACTTCACTACCATTTAACATTTTGAGTGATAATAAGTTATTAGCCTAAATGACTCTTAGTACAAAGCATTAAAGATGGATAAACATAATTCAGGGACATGACATTGCGAAAAATGAATCGAGAAAATATAAATCAAATCACTTTTAAATGCCTTATGGAGCCTTATGGAATAGAAACAATACACACCATTAAGAACAATGTCATATTAACTTGAGGTGGGCAATTTGGAATTCAAGATGAGATTTTGCGGTAACCGGTTGGAAACAGAAATTTGAGAATGAAACTCAAATTAAAGTTGTTTCTGTATAAAATAGCAATATTATTATTATGTGGTATATTAATTTGTTATTGTGTTCCATATATACACAACAAAATTTCCGACCAGTTTCCAAATGAAGAAGAGTTGTCCCAATTGTTACGTTTTGCCCATTTCTACAATGCATAATTCAGATGCATGCACCAAACTTTACTGATTTCACTATAATAAGAAACCGATTTGAGCTTTTGTCAAGCTCTACATTCAGATACTTATTATACAGTCTCTTTTATTTGGTAACTGTGCTCAAATAAAAAAAGTACAAGTCCATAAAGAAAAGGGTACACAAAGGAACCTCTAGATTTGGGAGAATGATGTGACAGTCTTGAACCCGTGATTCTCTGGTAGGGAAGCGTTTCCAGGTCGAATCGATATAATCGCCTCCAGGCCTTTCACCGGAAATGAGAAACCCGCAAAATGTCAATTTCTTAAACACAGTCGCTTTTGAAGTAAAATAGGATTTTGTGTTTTACCTGCTGCTTGTGCAGCTGTAGCTTCTTGATAAACATCTGTCACAAACAGAATCTCTGAAGGATCATCCACTCCCAATGTTTCAGTAATCTCCTTGTAACTCCGGCTCTCTTTCTTGTTTCTGGATGTGAGATTTTTAGTTAGGATCATTACAAGATAACATTGACTATCGAAATGCGTAACGATACATCTTTTTATATACTCACCCGATTGTAGTGTCGAAAAATCCAGATAGATACTTTCTCAGATCTCCATAGTTTGTATTCCCAAAGAGAAGCCTTTGCGCTAGTCGACTACCACTAGAATATATGTAAACCTGTTTGCATATAAAATATATAGAAGAAAAATGATTAGATCTGTGGAAAAAAAACACCATTTCTCTGAAAGCTACATGAACATACCTTAATTCCCGAAGAATGCCATTTCTCTAAAGCTTCTGCTACATCCTCGAAAACAACAGATTTCAGTTCATTACACTCAAAACCTGTCCGCCATATGTGACCCTGCATCCGAAAATACATATCGGCTTTATCAAACAATATCAAAGTCAACAAAGTAAAAAAGGCAGAATCTTGTTATTTTCTCACTTGCAATTCCTTTAAAGCAGTGATCTTTCTATCGGCTTTTATCATTGCCTCTACATTAGAGACCATAGCGGCAATGACCTCATCTTTTCCTTCATCAGCATGAGGGATAGGAACAGCGCCAGTTACACCTTGTCTCAAGTCTTCCTCAACCTGCAACAAATACAAGAGATGAACTTTCCTCACTTGTTTATGAGAAGAGAATATAAGAAAGTTTGTAGAGGAAATTAATTTGTTATTACTTGAGACCGCAACAACTTAATATCCTCTTGGGTTTCTGCTGTGTCGTATGTCAAATTCAAATGCTTTCCGACATTTTCACGAGCATAGGGAAAGAGAACATCAGTGACGAAGGTTATGGGCGTAGTTGTTCCTTCAATATCGAGGACAATGCATCGCTGCAACCAAACATCGTATAATTAAAATGAGACTTTTAAAAATATATGATGAGAGATATCAATGATTTTTTACCCGAGGCGATTCTGTTTGGTTTTGTGAATCGTTGACTCCGGATTTCACAGATAATATTGTGGAAGTTTGATTCTGTGAATGTATGGTTCTACGGATAGGCCCGTGGTCTGGGGTAGCAGAATCCAGACCCAGTTGATGAAGCTTAATGGCAGCATCGAATAGATAATGGTAACATTCAGCCTGGAATTGATAATTAATTTTTTTTTTAATAGAAGCATATGATATATGAACATAACATAACGATATAGAACTCACTGTTGGTTTCTCAACATTCAATCAAAAATTTAAATAACTTGCACAAACCTGGGTCTTTGCATGGATCCAAGAATCGCCCCAAATGTAAACTCCATGATTGCGTACCAACACTGCTGTTGCTTTTGGATAGGCTTCAATCTGAAAATGGGAGTCAAATATGTCAAAACTAATAAAAATCATTCTACTGTTGCATATAATCAATTCAAGCTTCCTCAAAATAATTAGACATACAGCTTTGGTAAGTGAATCTGTTAGTTCATTCTCATAAGCTGTGTTCTCTATGATTGGGACAACAAGTTCATCATAGTATCCGTGACCTTGAATCCCTTTTATCATCTCCATGTGAGTTATCTGCGACATGTCAGATATGAAGAAACATCAAGATCCAAAGCTTTAACTGATTTGAGGAAAACTTGGAATTGTCTAACATTCGAGCTTACACGAAACTCTTTGGCTTGTGGATTAAGCATTGTCACAAGACAAGATTCCATGCCATGACTATGAATCACAGCTCCAGCATTTCGCATCTCATATGCCTACACCACAACGTTATAAGGTACCTCATAAGCGTTCATCACCAAGCGGAAGAAACCATAACAAAGTCAATGCTATGAATTTTTTTTGATAACGTCAATCATCTCACTGTTACTAGAAATTAGACATCCAAAAAATGAAATTGAGAAATCATACAAACAGAGCAAGGTAATCTGGTAGGGCAAAAAATTAAGATACTAAACTATGCAAGCCTGTTAAAGATATGAACTATACTTGGTTTTGAAATTGCAAGTAGTAGTAAAACAGACTACACTGAAGCGAAAAGAAGTTGTCTCAACATACACGCAAATCATCTGTAGGTTTATACATCAAAAACAATAATCTCACAATCGAGCTGGTCCACTGAACCCTAGAAAAAAACGTTTTTTTATCTCTATGGTGTTTCTTTGATAAGTAGAAAGAATTTACAACCAGACCTCCATTTTCAAGAGTGTCTATGTAAACACCAATAGAACTATATCATATCAGTTCATTGTGTTAGCCTATTGTGCTACTTCTAACACATGACTGGATCCATTCTACCACTGCAACGTACTGGAGGTTATATGGGTCGAAGAAACCCACCAACACATCCAACGAGGGGATATTTGCTCGAATTGGACAAGTTTTACCTTGTAACCGAGTTTTCGCAAGCGTTTCCCCAAAGAAAGCCGCCGGTTCTGCACTTTTTTGGATTGCAATCCAATAGTCAACAGCAGTCAAAGTATTACCCATTCAAGAATAATACCACCAGGTAAATGGAACGGACAGCAAACTGGCAAAGTGCTACTAGAAAAGAGGGACGAGCTCTTAAACTATTTGCGTCATGAGTCATGACCATATGCTTTAAGAAATCATTCTTAAACATAAAACAGTTTAACTTGACAACTTAAACTTTGAATAGAACCCCAAGTGTTGCTCAAAACTACGAGTAACACCCAGTCATTATCAAGCAAAAATCTAGACGCAACACACACAAAATGGACAAAATCAAAAAAGCAAAATACCATACGATAAAAGTAGTGGTATCCCTCACCATTCACCAATATCAAAGTAAGCCAAGATAATCAAGCTAAATACACAGAACTCCGAAAAGGGAAATACCTTGAAAGTAACAAAACCATACCTTCATGAAAAGAGGAGCACAATCGGTACACTTGGGAGGCTTATTGGGGTATGGCTTTGGAGAGGGTGTAGATATGAGGGATCCATTTGCAGATAAGATGTACATATCCTCCGGTTGCATCCGCTCCTTTTGAACACCTTCAAACACAGCAGGAATTAGCGAGCCGTAAAGCAAATAAAACTCAAAAACATATCGAAGAACTATTCAAATGCACAAAAACAAAGCTTCTAAACATTGAAAGACAAACAATTGCCCACTGAAAGAGTGTAGCTAAAATGACTTAAGGACCATAAACACACAAAATAATCTCTAGAAACAGAAATTTTGACTAATCATCAAACACACAGCTCGGTATTACGACCTCAATTTGAACACAGAAGCCAGAAGATTCGACAAAACATAGTTCTTGAAAACCCACGAGAACACAAAGAAACCCCTCAATCAGTTGAAATAGCAAAGAAGATAGAAATCGGAAATCACAGGGTAAAGCAAGCGATTGAGAAGTAGAGAACCTGAAGGAGACATGACGATGAGTTGCTCCGGTTTAGGGATTGAAGGGTCATGAACCTTGATCGTTATACTACCGCCTGTTCCAGAAACCCAACCTTGTGTGTAAAAATGGCGACAGAGCTCAGTTACCAGTGAAGTCGTCTCCTTCACTTCCTTCCCTTCCAGATACGCCTGCGGAAACCCGATCATCGCCGCTGCAGCCACCGCCATTGATTCTCAGAGCAAAGTACAGAGATTAACAATAGATTGAAAAGATTAGAGCTTTCCAGGGAAAGGAAATGAACGCAGGGGCTTTCTTTATCTTGCGAGCATTCTCTTGGCTGCTTTTGGAATTTGGAGAATATGATTCCTTTTTCTTTCCCTTAAATTTCGCAATTTTGAATTTTCTAATCCAATTTTTCACCTTTCAACCAAATTTTGTGTCAAAACTTACAATTGAAGATTAAAAGATCACATTTTTATTGCTCGATTGGTATCTCCGCCATATCTTCGCCGTCACCGCCGCAAATATAGAAAATGATTCCTTTCGATTTAGGGGACTTCTCATGTCGTTTTCCTCACTCAAAAACGACACGTAGTTTATAAAAAGGAAGGGCGTGTTTGGTAGCTACATTCGAGATAAGAATAGTGTAAAACCAACCCACTCTTGAACCCCTCTCTGCTAACAAAAACTAACCAGAGAGCGAGAGAAAGCTCTTATCTTCTTCTTCTCCAATGTCGAGAGGACCAGGTCGTATGCTGCAGAACTTGACACAGTTTGCTGATGCTCAGTTCAAGCAATTCTCTACTCGTTATGGACAACAAGTCATAGACATTCTCGATTTCCCTATCAAAGTTGTCTTGTCTCCTTTCACTCTCGCCTTCGACATCGTTGGTTCTGCACCTCGCGGTTTTGGCATCCCTGAATTCATCTCCAAACTATCTTATCTTTCTGTATTCGTGAGTTCTTTCTTCCTCAATTTGCTAAAGTTTCGAATTTTAATTCGAGTATGCATAGTGAGCTGAATTTCTCTATCTGGGTTCGAATATTGGATCATTTTAGGAAACTGGCAAAAGTCTGTTGTGGTGTATGGAAACATTTCATCATTTTAAGTTCCATTGATTTGCAGGCAGTTGCTACACTGGGAACTTATGACATTGCATTGGATTTGGGAAAGAAAGTCATATGCCAAAGGTCAGATTTCAATTTATGATGCTTTATTATGTGTCACAGAATTTCTTCTGTTTGAGGGTCATCCGGTGAAATGAATGCGTTTTTCTTGTGGTCAGGGATTGCAAAACTTGTAACGGGTGGCAGGCGTTACGGTGCACCATGTGCAAAGGAACAGGGAGTGTTCATTACCAAATCAAAGATTACAACTTGAGAAGGTGGGATTCTCTCTTGTTAACCCAAGTTATTATTGCTTCAACTACTTGGACTTCATGAGAATTAATCAATCCACCGCGTTGGTGAATCCACCGAATGTTCTATACAGCTTCTTACCGACGTTTTAGATGTAACCCACATAATATTAGTTGACCACAAGCTGTGCACTTTGCTTTATGGTTGTGCAAGTATTCAGATTTGAGTAATGGTATATTCCAATTAGTATCCATGCTTGGGTTTGAAAGGAAGTAAGGAATTATTAGATGAGCAGTTTGAGAAAATGCGCGTTTAATCTATCTATAGTCTCGTTGTGTTCCTAAGATGATGTATGTTAGTCGTGGCATTTCCATTTGGAAATTCATAAGCTATTAAAGTGGTATTCTATCATTCATGAAAAGGAATATAAAGATTGATCTTTTCTCTGCCTTTTCTTGTAGTGGAGAGAAGCCAACAGCAGATTGTCTTGCAGATGCCATAGTTGACAATCGAGCTGAGTTGGTTCATCTTCCCTCTTCCCTCAACCTCAGTGCACCATTGCCATCAAAAGACTGCCCAACTTGTGATGGAACAGTAAGTTTTTCCTTTTTCCCACTGCTAATGGATTAAGCTACTGTTAATGTAATTGCACAGATTTGGTTATTATATCTCTCAATTTTTTAATAACTGCTAATATTTCATGTCCATGTAATAAGCTTGTCTGTGTTTTAAGGGTTGAATAGATATATGCTCAATAATTTGCTTAGAACATTTACTGATATTGCAGGGTGTGATGAGCTGTCCTGAGTGCAAGAACAAGCTGCAAGTCAGGATCTCGGCTGATGATGTATGTTTTCCATCTGCTATTACTTCTTCTCAGATTAATATCTACATTTATCCCCAGTGAGATGGATATTTACTACTTGCTAGGTATAAAATTACCAAAGAGATTTAGAATTATCACTTGTTAAATATCTGAACCAATGAATGAATTCGCATTCATTTTTCAGATCATGGAACCTCCATGGAAAGCCTACAATGTACTGAGGAAGATGGATTATCCCTACGAGGTGAGCACAAAGTCTATATATAGACCCAAAACTTGCTATTTTTGCTCAGTCTTACGTGTCTTGTTTTCTATTTCAGCACATTGTTCACAGCATGAAAGATCCCAACATTGCAAATTTCTGGTTGATCACTTTGCCTCAGATTGTGGGTGGGTTTGATTATGATGAAGATGTCAAGAAGAAAATATGGTGGCAATACGAGGTTAGTATCTCTTTCTACTTGCATAGGATCTCCTTCAGCGTGACTTATTCACCAGTCTTCAACTTTTGAGCTTACTTTCGTTTGAAGGTTATGGTCTTCTAGAATCTTAATCCAAGCATACCGTAAAAGCTTTAGTCTACTCTTAGCTGAAAAAGTTGAATCTTCTTAATCCTCATTTGGGATGGTGTTGCTACGCCAATATAGAATCTGTTCCGTATCTGGATTGGTTTGTGCTAAGAAATTTGAGAGGCTTGCAGGATACTGCTGTGCTCAGGGATCTGCATTGTATAGGATTTCGTTGAATATTTCAGCTTTAAGCTTCAGTGATGTTAAGTATATATCTCTTCTGCCATCAGGAATCTATGCGATATGATCAACTTCGGGACTTGGTGGCTAAGCGAAACCCTGGCTGGGAATATTTGCAGGATGTAAGTTTGCCTCGTTATTGGTTTAAAGATTTGACTCAATCTGGGAACTAGATCGGGATATGTAAGTGAAGAAGTTTAGCAATCACTTTTTGGTTCTCATGGTTCTACAGGCCTTATTCTCCATTGATCCTGTCCGAGCTCGGGAAGACCCCGTCATAGTGAAAAATGTCCCTTTTTACAAGGCTAAGAAAGCTTTGGAGGCTGAAGTCACAAAGCTCAGTCCACCTCCCCGCCCTCAGAATTGGGGTGTAAGTTCTCCCTTCTTCTTTTTGGTTTTAGCATCACAGTTTTTGTTATTCGTGTTCCTGAGACCACGGGCATAGTTCAGAACTAACTGATGAACATGTACAGGAACTGAATCTCCCATTGAATACTTCCTCTTGGAGTGAAGAAGATCTAAAAAATCCAGCAAAATTGTACGAGAAGACGGTTCTTCTCAATGCTCAAAGAGAAATCGCAGATAAAATCTTGGATGCACAATGGGAAGCTAAATGGCGTCAAGAAAAGGTTAATCAAAAGGAACATCTTGACACAATTTGATATTGTATCACATATCATTATTCCAATGCATATACTGTTTTTAATCTTTACGGTTTGTAGGTGGAGGAAATGTTGGAGGAGAAGGTGAGACCTTTCATCCAAGACTCAAGCATGGGTGTTCTTCCGCAGCACATTTTGTTAAAATCGCATAAGAAAGATCAAAAGGTATCGCAATTGAATTGGTTACAAGAATAAACCTACTTGATTGATTCTCTCTTACACACTAAATCCGTTCTAAAGAAGCTCTATAAACCTATCATTCTTGTGACCAATTTCCATTGTTCTCCCTTTTGGATTTAAACTTATGATTTCTCTGTTTCTGACTCAGGGAAACCGGCAAAGGAAGTGGTGGTTCTTTTGATGACCAGACCAGTGTATCGGAAATTAATCTAGATTTTGGATTGATGAAAATATACTTTGATAATTACTTTTGTGGGTCTCGGATATTGTTACACTTAAAATCAGTTTTTTTATCTTATATATACTCCATCCGTTTCATCGTGTTAAATTTTTTTTTTTCTACAAAGAATGTCGTTTTGTATTGTCAACAAAATCTCAGAACTATAATATAATTTCAGCATATTAATTAAAGAGATGGGTATCAATAAGGCGTATTCATTGCATACTTCTACGTGTACCATTGTTTTTGTGTTTTTTTTTCATTTGCTGGTTTCAACTTAGCTATCATCTTCTCCAATCAATCACTCTCTTCAAGTCCTCTCGTGTCTCCTTCACTACTTACGTGTTTTTCATTCTGTGAAGATCTTACCTTTTTTATTGAATTATCTCCACATCATTTTTTTTGTCTTCAAACGAATCAAACGTATCCATATTGTTATTGTTGAATAGAAAAGTATAATAGTATCATACTCTTAACTAATAAATAAATGTGATGATGAATGAATAACTTGTTTCAAAGTCTTGAGCTTTTGGTTTTATCATTACGTGGAAAAGAAGTTATTATCTTATATGTAAATCAATATTATATCTCAAGAAGGGCAAAAGAGAGGACTTCTTTTTCACATGGGTTTTTACTTATTCATATTATCATACACCTAATTGAAAAGCATATGAATTTATCATTTTAAAAGGAAATTGGATGTTGTCCTTCCCTTACGTGGAGCTTTGGTTGGTAAAAAATAATATTAAGCATGTGAAATCTGATTAGAAATCGTGTAAACATAAAATATGGTCCGTCCAAATCCTTCTCTACTACAAATATACTCTACTCATTTTCGTTTTTGTATTTTATGCTATGAATGGAAATACGTAGGTACCATTTATTTGGACGTTGAATTATAAGTATTTTCAGTTGAAAAGAACAATAGTCGTATGCATTAAATTTCAAATAAGGATTAGCAAACTCAAAATTTATTTTTCACATTGGATGGAGCAACTCTTTTCTCAAAGTTTGAAATTCATACTATAGTGCGATATACATACGATAATAGAAGAACTAAGACCTAAGTCCACAAGATTAAAATTAAGTTCGCCCATGTTAAAAAAACACTTTCAAAAAGGGATCACATATATCCTTACAAAACATAGCAAAACTAGATTCATTGAAAAAAAACATAGTAAAATCATAAATTATAGATTATAATTTTTTTTTTTGTTATACAACCAAATTACCGAATCATAAATTAGAAGATAATTATGGACGTTTCGGAAACGACAAATGGGTTTAAGATTGACTTTATCATGATAATATATTTATTAATTTTCCAAAAAAAAAAGATAATATATTTATTATAGTAGGACTATCATCTTGACCCGCGATTAAGGTAATATATCAATAATATAGCGACTGAAATCCATTATTGTTTGAAGTACTCACATAATTAAAAAAAAAAAAAAACTAATCAAATTTTAGATATTTCAATGCGAATGTAATATTCTTTTCATTTAAGTTATGAGTTGTCTAACCAAATTTAGGGTAAACCAAGTTATTGCAAATGACCGACCACAAATAAGGAAAAAAACCCTAATCAACTTTTAGATGTTTGAATGAGAACTCAATATTCTTTTCGTTATAATTATGAGCTGTCTAACCAAATTTTTAGGTACAAATTGACCGGCGCTTTATAGAACTTAATCCAGTATTTCCAAACATAATACTCCAGAAATAATTAAACTCTATACATATAATTAAGCTAAAAATGATTGTACATACAATGTGGCTACTTAATTTTATATATCCCTTCTGAAACTTATCGACGTCAACCAGAAAAGGTTAAAACATCTCCAATGGGGTATTAATTTGATGTCCCAAGAAAAAAACAAATAATCAATTAGATGTCGATCAAGTTCTTTTTGTTTAATGTCGACCAAGTTTTTAATTAAATATTTGTTTCATAAACGTTAAAATAAAATCACCGGTACTTGT